GGGGGGGGGGTATGAGGAGGAGGGGCACAAGAATTTGGGAGGGGACACAGCTGGGACAGCTGACCCCAACTGACCAAGGGGATATTCCACACTGTATGGCATCACGCTCAGCGTATAAAGCTGGGGAAGAAAGAAGAGGGGGGGGGACATTGGGAGTGATGGCGTTTGTCTTCCCAAGTCACCGTTACAGGTGATGGAGCCCGGCTTTCCTGGGGATGGCTGAACACCTGCCTGCCCATGGGGAGTGGGGAACTAATTCCTTGGTTTTCTTTGCTTTGCACATGTTCACCCCAGCTGGCAACTGACTTTTGCTTTACCTATTAAACTGCCTTTACCTCAATCCATGAGTTTTCTCACTTGTTCCTTTCCAATTCTCTCCCCATCCCACCATGGTAAGAGTGAGAGAGTGGCTGTGTGGTGCTCAGTTGCCAGCTGGGGTTAAGCCATGACACAATGAAACCTGTCTGATAACAGAAGAGTCTTGGACTTGTTCACATGTAAGCAACAATAAACACGCTCCATGTCACAGATAATTAGTGTCCTGACCTTGACTAATCATATCACATGAGGCAGACAAATGCATGTAGAAGAATGAGTTTTCCAGTTGCTATTGCACCCTGAACTCTGGCTCCTCTTAAGTGTCTCAGTCTTCGCACCACAGACCCAGACAAAGAACCCAGAGGCAAAGTACAAATTCTGTTACCCTGCACTAAGACGCAAGACATTACGGGAGCAGGTCAATGGACAGAGGGTGGACAGAAGATTTGTGCAATGTCCTGTCCCACAAGAAATTTGTGAGTGAAATCAGAACTTTCTTCATTTCCCAGAAAGAAGAATGTATCACAGCTGTCTGCATCTGAAATTCCTGTAAAACATCTGAACTACAAAAAGTACTTAGGCCCAATCAAGAGGCAAGGAACAAAAAACCTAGGGAAGCACTTCTTAGCCTGACATGTATCCTTTTAACTAGTTTCTGTGTAAAGGCTTCAGAAAAATCTTGTTCATCGGTACCAATTCAAAACACGTCTCAATTGTTTGTTTCTAGCTTATCATCGTATACAAGTTGTGCACTACAGCACCAAACAGAAAATAAACTACCCACTTACTCTACTTCAGATCTTATGAGACCTCTCCAATGTCCAAAGTATTGCAATTAAAGGAACCTTTCCATGGATTCCCATCAGGAAACAAGTACCCTAAAAACCTTAATAGTACAGCAGCTGCTCCAGTAGATTACTGTTCTCTGTGGGCAAATATTTTAGATGAAGGCAAACTTGTTGACTTGTAGGATTTCTGAAGTGGAAGAAACTTTTAAAGTTAAAACAACTTAGCATTTTCCTGGAATTCTTGAAACGCTAAATCATACTTCTGAATGCCCTTGTAAAACATGTGATCGTGATAACTCAAACTGGATTTACTCACTGACAGAGGTACCTGTCTGCTCCATGGCCTAAACCAAAACGCCATTGGAAAGCTTCCTTCTGGAGGCATGGTCTGCAGAATTCCAATTGTTCCAACTACACACTTGTCATTAAGAAAGCTCCTGCGTAGGGTTTTATTGACTGACAAGGAAGGAAAAACTAAAGCTGTTTACCAAATTTAGCCATCATTTAACGTGTGGCTGTGGGTGGTCACTGGTGGGATGTGCAGGGGAGGGAAGGGCTGCATTACGAAACCGCGTTCACTGCGGTCTGACATGAGAGGCAGCGCTCAGAAAGCAGCTACTGCTGACAATCCTGCTTACAGACTGCAGCAAAAGTTGCGACCAGTTATCAGAATTAACTCTTGTACACTGTACACTAAAATCACTCACTAGACGCAAAAGCTATAAAAATGCATTTTTAGAAAATACCAGAACATTTGTGATCCCACTAAAATACAGGTCTCCAGAGTTACTTTTCGTGTTCACATGATTTATCCCATAATACCTTGTGCCATGTTACCCTGCCTGTGAATAGTTAAAACCAAAAAGAACAAACAGTGGCTTTATTCAACCTCTAAGAATAAAACCCACCCCACCTTGAATATGTCAAACTATGACATAATTCTTCATGTAAACCTCTCTCTCCTTTCTTGCTGTGATCAGCAGGGAAATCGTTAACGTGTTACTGTAACTCATCTTCAGAGCTGAAACCCTTTTAACTGCCTAGCCTCACCCTCTCTTCCCGGCCTTTCTTTCACACGTACTACAGATCCAGGCTAGTAACACCACCTACACGTTCCAGCTAAACACATTAAACAAAACATTTAAATATTTCAAGTTTTGCATGAAAGTGGGTTTTTTATTGCTATTCAGTGACTTTGCATGCTTAATCATAAGCAAAGCTAGTGTAAAGTTACCACCTCCCTTTACGAAATCTCTGATCCTGCAGAGCAAATACATCCATTATTAAACCATCTCTACTCACCATGACACTCAGTTGCTGACACCAAGAAGAAATGTGGGAGAGAAGAATGATTCTCTCAGCAGGACGCCTGCATCTAGCTGCAGAGTTCTGTTTTCACACAGAGCTACAAAGGCCTGTCACAGTCGTCACAAAGCGTGCAGACCAGGGGTACACAGGCATTGTGTTTTTTTGCTGGATCACAGCACTATTTCGTAATTTATTTGCTAAACTAATCCCAAACTGCTGAGTCTACACATTTGCTAACACATTTAGACCACATACTGTCAATGGAACAGCTATTTGAGCTGTCAGCTGTATTTATTTACAGCTGTCAGCTCCAACACCCAGAGTGATTTATAGTAT